AAACCAAAAACGAACTCAAAAAAAACGAACCAAGAACAAACCAAAAACGAACCAAAAACGAACCAAAAACGAACCAAAAACGAACCAAAAACGAACCAAAAGCAAACTAAAACGAACCAAAAATAAACCAAAAACCAACCATAAAAGAATCAAAAGCAAACCAAAAACGAACTCAAAAAAAAATACGAATCAAGAACAAACCAAAAACGAACCAAAAACCAACTAAAAACGAACTAAAAACGAACTAAAATCAAACAAAAAACGAACTAAAGATGAACCAATAAACGAAACAAAAACGAACCAGAAGGGAACCAGAAGTGAACCAAAAACGAACCACAAACGAACCAAAAACGAACGTGTTTAAACGTGTTTTGGTTTGTTTTTCTTTTATTTCTCTCAGAATAAAAATATTGCAAAGTTTAATAAAATCTTGGACTTTTTCGTTTTGAAAAAAAATCAAATGTAAAATGTTAAATAATATTAATTACAAATATGAAGGAAAACTAAGGATGATATTTTTCATACAAAATATATTAACAAGGCCTGACAAAGACAAATCATTGTATTATGATTATAATAAATTAAGAAAGAAAGATGAAAAGAAAGGATAAGATGACAAAGACAAATCATTGTATTATGATTATAATAAATTAAGAAAGAAAGATGAAAAGAAAGGATAAGAAACGGAGAGGAACAATTAAATGAATATTTCTCGAATACAAGAATAAAGGGAATGTAAACGTTATTTCTAGCGACTCTTCCTTTATAAAAGCGGCATTTCCGATTTACAACCACCGAGCCAGTACATCAAGTACTGTATAAACATACAGTTGTACCGTCCAGTCTGGACTACCAGGTGTAGAGTCGACCCAGCACAATGTATGTAACAAATGTAGCCTGGCAAGATGACAGTGCAACTGTGATCTTTGTCTGATCAAGAATGATGGAGATAATCCTTATTAGTCCAGCTGAAAATTGAGTGCCATGAAAGTCGAGTGCACAACAACAGATCAAGTGTGCTACGGTAAAAGTGATTCTAAAGTTTAGAAACAATTTTTTTATGTGTGAATATATATTCTATATAATAAAGCTCTTCGCTCATAGATATAATTGTATATTTGTACGTATATATTTGTATATATGTTAGCTATAGCTGGTCAAGCGGCTATAGACCGAATGGGCTTATTCTTTAAAGGGAACCCATGGGTACACGGAGGGTAACATAGGCTACACAAATTTGAATTTCAAAAAAAATTGAATTTAAAAATCTAATTTCTTTCAAAATTCGATTTTTTAAATTCCACGGGCAACGTCGGGCACTCCAGCTAGTTAAACATATTTCAATATATAATCTCAGAAAGGATGCCCTTTGATGTACGTAGTACGTATACACTAGTTTGACTTGTTGAGACTGACGTTAAATAGGTTGAAAATTTTCCACTAGAAAAATGACGATATCGCAGTCGTCCTTGATCAGGTTAAAAGGTACCGTTGTGAAATATCATTTATACAATGCCTTTAAAAGGTGGCAAACAACAGGAATTTACATACCTGAAATAAAAAGGATAATTAGAGAAATTTTATAATAATAAAATTTGTTGCGTTTGAAATCGTTCCTACTTTATATAAAGGTTTTTCAAGATAAAACTCCAAAACTCACTCTCCACTAAACCCTACAATATCTTCGGTCAGTGTACTGCAGATTACTGCAGTACACACCTAAAGCTTAGTTGAGGCTGTGCTCTTTAAACCGTAGTCGGAGAAAAACGATGGAAGTATTCCTGTTTTTCCATCTTAAAATACAAGTTTTTCAATTGTGGTTCCATTAAAAAGTGGCTTGATGCGGATTTATGTAGTTTGTAGAAAATAAAGGAATGTAGGAGACATCAAATGTTGAGTTCGATTGAAAGGATATAATTGTGAATCATGTAGTATTCTCTCACTACTAAAATGTGCAATGAATTGGCAAACTTAAATTAGGAAACTTTAATAAGATCACACTTCAAGTTATTCTTCTTGTATTAGATCAATTATCTTTGCAACCTGACAACATTGCAGATCGGGTTATTTCCATCACTCGGACCTAAGCCTCATGCGATGTTGTTATCTTTGCAACCTGGCATTATTATACTTCGGGCTATCTCTATCATGCAGAGTAAACCTCATATTATTATTATCTGCTCGTGCAATAATTAACACCCAAAGTAATAAACATATTCTCTACAATGTTAATACATTTATTTACATAATCATAAATGTATACATAACATTAAATAAAGATAAACTGATGACATAATTGTTAGCCAGGATCCTTTTACTTATAAGGTTTCCTAACTCGACGTTTAAGCACCTTCTCAGTCCGTCAATCAACTTTATATCTTTACTATTACAGGTCTGCTGGTCAACCCGCTCCTGCAAGATCCGGAGAGACGTTTAAGCACCTTCTCGGTTAATCTACCAAGTCTAAAGTGCATGACTGATATAGCTTTCAGTCCGTCAATCAACTTTATATCTTTACTATTACAGGTCTGCTGGTCAACCCGCTCCTGCAAGATCCGGAGCAGATTCCAAACCTGGTTAGACAGCCTGTCACTGACCTCTTTCCTAGTAGAGGCAGGATACAGTCTGTACTCTTGCTCCAAAGCCTTCCCTGTGTCCCATACATAAACATTGGGGCCAACAGTGGGCTGTTAGGAGCTAGTGTCCCTAGGAGGCGGGACATTATACTCCTTAACTCCCGGTTGAGCTCTTCTAAGTCCTGAACTACTTCCAGGAGTATCTGCGGAATATCTTCCATCTTCTCATCTTCATCTTTATCCTCTACAACCTCCTCAGCTACATCTTCGTCCTCCGAGGCAGGGACAGTGGTAATGGGAGTGTTCCCACTGACAAGAGGAACAAGGTTAGCTAGATTAACTCTATCCTCATCCAGCTCAACTTCTCCAATGTATGCGGGGTTTCTCACAATCACAGAAACCCGATTCATCTTCTACTGCTGTTGCTCGTCCAGAAAGGTTCCCTCTGTATTCTATATGTTCACTGGATGTTGTACAGGCCCTAGAACGATAGTGGCAGACGGACGTGTATAGTTACGTGTCTACTCTTCTAAGGTTCGGGCTGTACTGATCTCTGGTATCCAGTTGTATTCAAGGGATTGTTCACTCTTATTAAGAACAATCAGAAATACAACAATCAGACATGAACAGTTTATTTTCAATGAGAGTCCCTTTAAAAGGGTGGAAAATTTTACTTCAAACTCCGTATCAAACGATTAGTTTTCTCATACATTTTAAGTAGATTCCATACATGAGACAGATAAGGAGACTTGTCATCCGTCCCACTGCTACATCAAAACTTAAGTAGATTCTCTACACGAGACAGATGAGGAAACTTGTCATCCGTCCCACTGCTCCCTACCCTTTCTCCGTCCCTACATGATATTGATGAGAAGATTCGCCATCTGTCCTACTGTTATCGTTTCCTACAGTTCCTACAAGTAAGCTTTTTCTTCATGCTTACATTTTATATATACAAGCTTTTACGTTATATACGTTATATACGTTATATACGTTATATACAAGTTTGTACGTTATATACGTTATGTATATATACATTATAAATACAAGTTTGTACGTTATATACGTTATATACACTATATATACAAGTTTGTACGTTGTACTTTTTTTAAGCAATGCATATTTCACTTTAAGGGATAAACATTATAAAGAGGTTACTTTACAAATGAAAAAAATTTTATTTTGCGTTTTTTTTTAGGCCAAATCATTTCATTTATACAACGTCAAATTCAACCTTCATATCCTCATAGAAATGTAATTCAAAATTTAATTGAAATTGAAAATATAACTCTATCTTTAATGTTAGGGTGCAAGGGAGGATTTAAAAAAAGTTCAAAAAGTCGGAAAAATGTTTAAAAATAAATATTTTTTCTTTTGACAAATATTAACATGTGACACATGTTATTACATCCATTTTTCCATATCTTAATTAAAAAAGTTATTTTTTTAAGAACCATGAAGTTGAAAAAGTGAAGATGGGGAGGGAACACCCCTCCCCCCCTTTAACCGTGATAGGGTTAAGTTAATTTTGGGGCATATCTCTATACACATCTATGTAATGACAATGAACTTTCATGTTCTTTTGAAATTAACTAAAATTTATGATAGGATGTATTTTTAATTTTTATAATTCATGACAACCATTACAGTTTTAATGGAAAGGATTTTATTTTATCAATTTGAATTTTGACATTTTTGGGAATCAGTAAATTGTGGAAAAAGAAGACATCATAACAATCCTGTAGTGTCCTTAATGTTATCATAAGGCAAGTAGATTTACTATATGTATAACGTATTAAATCACTTATTAAATCAAAGGAATTGAATTTTTGCCACAAACTCTGATTTTAGAATCTCTATATCTTTGCAACCAAATGTCATAGACCTTAGATATTTCAAACTATGAATTCTGTTAGATTAAATAATCTATATTTAAAAGATCAAGTGTTTACACAATCAGGTTGAAAAGATATCGGGATTAGAAAATTTGCATTTGTGACAAAGACTCAATTCCTTTGTCTGTTTACAATTGTGTTTATTGGACTATTTCAAGTCATAATTGATAATAAAAGTCGATTATCCTATTCAAGAGTTTTCTGGTTCTATTTCAACCCTTTAACATCTCCTGACTTATTGGAACCCTGCCCATACTTTTTGTAACCAATGATTTCAACTATTTTATTTCAAAAGAAATGTGACATTTGGACTTGTAAAAAGCCTTTGACTGCATAGCTTGAAAAAACAAAATTGCACATTATTATTATTTCAAAAAAATAAACAATTTTGAAAAATGCTTTGAAAAACTGGTAAATTTTCTGATTTTTCTTGCTGCACTCACACACAAAAACAGAGGTCAAACCCAAATTGACAAGTAAAGAGACAAAAGTCCAACATTTTTTATCTATTGTACAGGGGGTTACCCACAAAGGATGAGATTGTAAAGACGACAAAAACAGCCTCATTTCCTGGCTTCATTTCTTCAAATTTCAATTTAATCCGAGGATAGGAAAATGAAAAAATTGGAAAGATAGAAAAAAATCTGATAAACTTTGTACAGCAAGAAAATAAACTGGAAGTAAAACATGAACAGGAAGTAAAAAACTAAACTAGCTATAAAAATACAAACCGAAAGTAAGGTAATAAACCGGACGTAAGCAAGTAAAATAATAAAACGGAAGTAAGACAATAAACCGGAAGTAATACTATAAACTAAATAAAGGAAATAAACCAGAAGTAAGATAATAAACAGGTATTTAGCAAATAAACCGGAAGTAAGAGAGTAAAACGGAAGTAAGGCTATAAACTAAGCCAATAAACTGAAATCTCTTATTCTTTTAGATGTTCTGAATTTTATTTTCAGGAAAGACACACACCCCTGTCAATTCACAGCTTGTCCGTATGCTGCTTTGATCGGAAGTACGAAAATGAAAGGAAGTTAGAATAGGAACATGAAGTATGAATTACAGGAAGAAAGAAAATGAAACCGGAAGTACACAAAAAAACGGGAGGAAATAAATCCAAATTGAGACAAAGAAATTATGAAAAAGCTTAATAAAATTGAAAAAGAAAACAAGCCGGAAGTAGAAAATGAAACTGGAAGTAGAAAAGAAATCGGAAGCTGAACTAACATTTCCTCTAAAACATTAAAAAGATTCCCCTAATTTACCTAATGCTCAAAATATTCTCATTCATAGATCTTAGACTTCCTTAGTAATGATGCGTATACAATTCCCCCTCCCCAACAACCCTCACTCCCCCCTCTCACTTCCTTCCCCTCGCACCAGACCCTCAATATACACTTGAGTATTCTTTTACACTGTACACAATGTGAATATGATTATTGATAGCTAGCTACCAGGAAAATGTAAATAAACATATAATTAGTAAAATAATTACATCTCTATCAGGATAATGACCGCTCAATCAACTTCAGAGTAGAGATGGGCGCATATAGTTTTTTTTTGAATTTCGTTCGTTCACCGTTCCTGAACGACTTATTTAGTTTTTTATAAACGTTAAAAAAATTATTTCGTTAGTTTTCAAATTGTCGTTCATATTCCATCTGTTTAGTTCATTTTCTCGTTGAACAATTGTTAAGTAAAATCGTTTGTTTAGTAAAATCGTTTGTTCAGTAAAATAGTTCATTCAATAAAATCGTTCTTTCCAAAAGTTTGTTCGAAAAAAAGTTTTTTCTCAATATCGTTTAACCAATTTTAACTCATTCATTTTTGTTTATTTTTTCCTTCGTTTTTAAAACTGTCCCTTTTTACATTTCTCTGAACGATTCTAGTCGTTTGTCCATCGTGTGTTTTTTGAATGACATCATCGTTCACGAAAAATTTCATTCGTTCACAAAAATTTTGTTCGTTCTCAAAAGTTTTGTTCGTTCACAAAAATTTTGTTCGTTCTTAAAAGTTTTGTTCGTTCATAAAATTTTTGTTCGTTCTTAAAAATTTTGTTCGCTTACAAAACAATACCCATCTCTACATCAGGGACATGAGGGATAATACGAACATATTCCATAATTAGACTGTAGACTGTAGACTGTAGACTGTAGACTGTAGACTGTAGACTGTAGACTGTAGACTGTAGACTGTAGACTGTAGACTGAAATATCTCCGTGTGTATATATAAGCATAAATAATGTAAATTTTATCAGATAGACCCTTGTATTGTTCGCCAGGCAATCCTAGCATTATCCTCATTACCAAGTATATTATTGTTCCTCAATAAGAACATGTTTTATTATTATTATCCAACAATAGGAAACCTATAAATAAATGATTATTTATAAAGAGGTAAGTTATTACAGAGCGTCAAAAACTATTATAATTATGGTAATTTTTGCCACTTTTTTTCCATAAAATTTTGGAAGCCTTTTTCCTATATGCGTCTTTTAATCGCAGGAATCTTGAATTTAAAGGGACTGCTAACGTAGTTTTCAAGGGACGCATGTCCGATTTACAACGGTACCTTTCACCATAGCCTCAGTAGAAGTAAATATTTCCATTTACTGATAGCGCCGAAATAAGGATTTATCTCTAATTGGATAATGAGCTAGTATAGAAAGTTAGACGTTACAGCTATGCAATTGATATTGGTTCAGAATAGACACCAAACACATGACTTAACCCTGATTGGATCAGGCGCTAATGGACTCGGCATACTAAAGTGTTCATCTGAGCAAAAAAAAACTAATAAGTACCTTTTGTAAAGAATAGACAAATTTTAGAAAGAAAAAATTGTTGTTGTAAATCTTCCATGCAGGTCTTATGAAGTGTCAATTGCAATTAGGAAGTCAGGTCCTTAAATTGCATTTGATAAACTAACATCTCATGGAACAGCTAGGATGAAATAGAAAATTATATCAAACTCTTTTGATATAATACTTTTTGATATAATACTATGTAGGGGGGAATTTTGTTATGTTTTTTTTGGTAAGCAACTGATTTTTCCAAGAAAAAAAAATTAATTTAAAGTGGCAAAAAAACTCAAAAGACGAGGGCAATGGGAAGTTGCCACTTGATAAACTGTAAAGTTGGTAAATTACAACTATGGAAATATTTTTTTTTGGAAAAAGTCACTTTAAAAGTTTTTTACGTGGGAAATCGGGTTTTTGGAATTTGAAAATTTTATTTTTGAGCAGAGTTTACGCGGTAAGAAATTCTTACAGTTGAGAAATTATCTAGTTTTGGAAATTGACACATTTATTTTAGGAAAAGTGAAATTGACAATAATTACATGGTAAACATAAAGCATGCGTGGGATTAGCTAGTGGTGTAGCAAATATTATAGCAATCCCTATATTTGTCCGGTCTGTGTGAAAAAAAATATATAAAAGAGCCATAACTTCTTTGTGACTAAAGCTACAGATATAAAAATATGTTTTTAAAAAGCCGTTTAAAAATGG